GTCAGAGATTTTGCACTGTTGCAGGCAGCTAGAAATCATTTTGCACCATTGCAGGCAAATCTAGGCTAGATATACAAAGCAGTACTTAACAGGGAATTAACCAGTGGTGGTCTGTCATTAGGAATACATTGAATACATTTTCTACAAGGTGCATTCATGGCCACCAGCAGAATCTCCATGCAGGAGCCAACAGATGGGATTGTCTGAAAAATTGTGGGGTCTCTGCCAAGCGAGCAGGAGCGTTCACCACCCCACAGTACGCTCCTTCGTGTACCACTTCGTGTACCTTCATGTCACACCAAAGGGTGGAACACACCACTGGTGGGTGGAGAAGTGGGCAGGATCAGCACTGAAAGGCTCTGGGGACATCCCAACAAAGCACAGTGAACTCATTCATCCAGCTCCTCTCCTGTACAGCAACGTGGAGCATAAAGAGGGGCCTGGGTGGAAGTTGCTGGAGGTTGCTGCCATAGCACAGGCTGAGGATGGCTGCGTGCCCCAGGTCTGAGCAGCTCTGGAGCCCTGGGTTACACAGAGATTATTCTAATCCTTTCATTAGCTTAATCCTGCTTTTTCTCCAGCGTGGTTGATACTGTTACAAGGAGAAAGGAGTCAGCGGTGCAGGATTACACTCACTCATTCCTGCCAAGGAAAAGGAGCTGGGAATTATCCCCTTCATTGAATTTGGATGGACAGTATATGATTGGTACCATTGGCCCTTCTTTTAATCACAACAGAGTAGATGAGAGATGCTCCATGCACACTCAACAGCTTTGGAAGGGAGAAGCCAAAGCCTCAGAAGATATTTCTTAATTAGGAAGATTTAATTTCTGCAGATTCAGATATTTATTATACTCACTAATCATGCCTTCCCATGTCCTACCAGAGCACTGCTCCAGCAGGATCACGGTGTGCTTCCCTCCCTTGCCAGGGTGAGGTGGGAGCACCCCACCACGGAGCTGGAGTCTTCCAGGAGAGCCTCCCAGGAGACCTTCCAGCAGAGAGCATTCTTCTGCCCTGGTGTCACCGGGAGAGAGCCAGGAATGCCCTTGTCACAGTGATACCTGCAGTCACCACTACCAAAGAGAACTGCGCCGGAGACTCCTGCCCTCTCTGGACAACGCTGGCCCCAAAGGACCCGAAGGTCATCAGGGTTCTATTCCACCACACAGAAAAAAAAAATAAATAAATCACAGAAAACCTGTCAGTGTTGCAAACACAGTGGTCATTGTCATCCCCACCCCTGCTGTTTTCTCCTCCCTTTCCTCATGCTGTGCCCACTCTTTGCCCTGTTGCGTTGCTGCCCTGACAGCACCCACTGCCCTGCTGCAGCCTGCGTCTCCATAGCTGCTCCCAGGAAGGGGTTTCCAGCCTGGGGTCTCCAGCCCAGCCCACGCCCCGATTCCATCACCTCAGCCTGGCCTCCTCCTCACCGCAGCCTCTGACCCCGCGGCTGGGGCTCTGCTCTCATGCCAGCCCTTACTGCTGCTGTGGTTCAGTCACGGTGGCACCCAGATGGCTCCTGTGCCGTCACGGCCTGGTGCTGCTGCTCTCGTGAGCATCTGGGGCTGTGTCCTGCCCAGGCACAAACCCCACGTTGCTCAGCGATGGGAAGGGCAATTGCTGCACCTGGGGAGGAGCAAGCCCAGCACCAGGACAGGCCCCAGGAGTCCTGCCGCACACCAACTTGCCCATGAGCTGCAACGAGGCCTGGCCGCACAGCAGGCAAATGCTGGCCTGGGCTGCATCGAGCACAGTGTCACCGGCAGCTCCAGAGAGGTGATCTGCTCTGCTCAGCTCTGGGGAGGCCACAGCTGCAGTGCTGGGACCGTGCTGGGCTCCCCAGTCCGAGACAGAGCTGGGCACACTGCAGGGAGGCCGGTGGGAGGCCACTGGGAGGGACTGGAGCAGCTCTGCTGCGAGGAGAGGCTGAGGGAGCTGGAGAAGAGGAGGCTCAGGAGGGGGTCGTCAATGTCTGTCAGCACCTGCAGGGAGGCTGCAGAGGGGACAGAGCCCGGCTCTCTTCAGTGATGCCAGAGCCCTGCACAAGTTGCTCCCTCCTGGGAGATCTTCAAAAGCTGCCTGGATGTGGGCCCCCTGCTCAGGGTGGCCCTGCTGCAGCAGGCAGCTTGGACAGGGAGCTCTTCTGCTGGGTGCATCTAGCTGTGGAATGAAATACCTGGGAATCTTTAGACCCCCAAAGACAGATGACCCCATTGCATGTTAACTCCACTTCCCTCCTAGGCAGGGCAGAGAGGACACCAGATCTGGGGGGCATGGGGGAGGGATCTCTTCCCATCTCCACTGTAACTCATGTGATGATGATTTTAGGAGACCTGCTGTTCTGCAGAATCAAGTCACACCACAGAGCATGGGGCTGGCATGAGGACTGGCAGGCGATAATCAAATCGTACTCAAGCAGATGCAACAGCAGACGAAGATAAATGGGTGGGAGTTAGGAGGGAAGCAGCAAGAATGAATAGGGACTGTAAGACCAGATAGATTAAACAAGATAAAAAGCAATAAATATGTACATTTCTAGTAAACAATGATTAATGGGAAACAGAGAATGTTGCAAGGAGGGGTTTATTGGAGCCAGAAGGAAGAGCAGAGACTAAGAGAGCTAATGCGATCGTATGAGGAAAAAGAAGTGTGGCTGTCAAACCTAGCACCACAGCAGCGGGCAGGAAAAGCAAGGACCAGACTGGTGGGACCCTGTTGCCTTGGTTAGCAAAGAGAACAAAAAGCCACCAGGACTGCAGGGGACAACCAGTATGACTGCACAAGAGTCGGCTTCACCACATATTGGTCTCACAGCAGCACAGCAGAAGGCAGAGGTGATGGTTATGGCCATCCCCACAGAGGTTCCACGTCCCCCATGCCAGTATCTGCATGCAGGGGACTTGCTGCTGCCAGGTAATGCAGGAACCAAGGCTTCCTTCTGCTCTCCTAGGAAGGGTGGTACCCTTGGATATCCATGGCAAACTCATGCTGGGGATGCAGCTTTCCACCAAGCAGCAGCAGATGCTCAGCTTACCTGCAGAGCAACAGAACTTGAGCTCTTTTCCCTGCAGCAGGCCCCCCAAAAGGGTCCTCACAAGAGCTTTGCAGCCTTGATGCTGCTGCAGAGCTGTTTGCCAGACCCCTTTACCCACAGGTTTGGTAACTGCCTGTCTTCTGCTGCCATCACAGAGACCTAGAGCAAGGAGGGCTTGGGAAGGAGGGCCATTTGGCAGCCTGAGCTTGCCCAGCTGGAGGGGCTCTCAGGAGGAGAGCTGGGGAGCGTGGCAGGCAGTTCTGGCCAAGGACAGGAGCGTGAAGGGCTCACTGCTAAACAGTCCACCAAGCACTGAGAGATTGGAGCCATCCATTAAAGCAATTTCACTTCTCCCATCAGGTTGCAGGGTTTGCAGCGATAAAAGGAATTAACAACTGCAATTAAACCAAAATCTCCCCTGTGTTGTCAGGATGAGTTATGAGGAGCTGGGTTTTATAAGAGCTCTATCCAGGGGACTGCAAGAGATAGCTGGGGGTGGCGGGGGCTGAAATGTTTATGGGTTGTGATACCTTGAGCTCTAAGCCACTTTGTTTTCATCGGGGAAAATGTATTAGGAGCCAAGATGCCTGCATGTGCAGGAAGAGGTCCTGCTGGCCAGGAGAGCTAGAAGACGTCAGTCTGCAGTGCCTACATCAGCAGGAGACCACAGCAAGGCCCACTGTGCCACGTCCTCACCCTACAGCCTCCTCAGCAACACTATGAGCAGGGGAAAATGATCAAAAGGCAGTGCTGACACTGCTGATGTCTGAATTTTCAATGGTGTCAGTCCTTCCTCTTACTTCTAAGAGCATAGCAAGCCCTCTCTGCAGCCCTGCAATAATCCCATCTAGTCTGTGCTCTTAATCAAATCAATTTTACTAAGTAATTGAATTAAAAGAGCCATTTATACAGAGCCCAGTTATTTTGGGTCTTTGTGCAGCCTTTAGGAGAGCAAAGCTTCAGTGCTTTCGGGCAAGACCTGACCATACCCAGGGATATCTATCCAGCTCCTTAGGGCAGCAGATCTCTTTTCATGCTCTTCACACAGTGCCTGGCCCAGCAGCTCCCCGGGTACTGCTGGGGTATGAACCAGCAGCAAGATGGATGGTTTCTGGTGTAATAACAACCACAAGGATGATGTTTTGGGAAGCAGAGTTAAGCATAAGAACCGTCATTTCTCAACTGTACCATGCCAGGTAGAGACAGAGGGAGAAGCCACAGAAAGCTCTGTGAAAAGAGAAAGAAGTCCAAGTAAACTTTTTGTTTCAGAATTAATATATTTTTAATTTATTTTATTTTATTATTATTTTAATTTTTTACCAGAAGCACTTTGGGGGTTTCATATGAGTTTGGTTTTTTTTAAACAAACATACCAGTATTGGCCAAGAACAGCAATGTATGCTGCCATTAGTGCAATAAAGAAAAAATCAGCACTTTGAGGGGAATTTTTCAGTTTGCCTAGAGGTAGCTTTTCAAACTTCTTCTTTGGGTCTTTCCCTTTCTCGTTCTCTGGAATGGGCTGCAGCCCTACCTAGCTGAGATAATAAAATGTCATCAGTGCAGGAGTAATAGAAAAAATCATATTAAATTGTCCAGAGACATCCCTGACACACCACGCCAGGGGAGGCACCCAACCTCATTGTGCAGTTCCTAGGGCTGCGTTTCACAACAGCCTGATTGGGATTTAATGACAGGGACTTAGAAATACAGGGCATTTCCCTCATGCAAAATGGGGATCAAACTGAGCCCAAATACTTGAGAATGGAAAAATCTATTAGACAGCCTGTCTCCGGCAAAAGACTGAGAGATTAGTACTGGCTTTATCCCATGGGATTATCCCTGCTTGCGTGTTTTAATTTACTCACTGTTATGGATAGGTGCTTTGAACATCTAAATAAATAAGTGATTCGATTGCATAAATTCTCCATCAGATTTAATTCTCACATATTTAAGAATTATCTTGTAATGCCATTTGTGCTCGTGTCTCATTAAATAGATCTGCAGAAGATTTTAATTTTTTGATTTTTTCTAGTTTCATATTGAAGATGCATGTTAGTAACACAAAATGATGAACCAAGCACTAATGAGAAGGAAAATCTTGTGGGAAGCAAATGTCAAAAGCACTGCTCGGTACAAACACGTGGGTTGAACCTTTGGCTGTGCCTCCCCTGTGGCAAGGACGCATCTCGGTGGTCTCCCTCCCAGCGTCAAGGCAGAGTCTCCCTGCCAGCACAGACAGACGTCATGTCTGTGCCCTCCTTCCTTCTCTGCACCATTTAATGGCTTCTTACTGTTTCACAGATTAGGAAAAAAAAGCCTTCCCAATGTTGCCAGGCAGCGTCAAAGGCAGAGAATTGCCTTAAATCTCCTTTGACGCCAGAGACAAAGCCATGGTCTGTGTCTGATGGCTGCGGACAGCCCTATCTGACTTTAGTTCAGACAAATGCTTCCTTTCTCAGCTATGCTGGAAAAGGAACACACATCTAATAACACCGTAAACACGATCTTGACTAGTTTTCAGATTGTGCATGAAATAATTAGTTGTAGAAGACATTTCCTTATGTACCATTCAGGTTTAATTAGGAAACATGTTCATGAAGCTGGTCCACGTGGCAGAGGCGCAGAGCTGCACAAACATGGCTGGGAAGAAGTTTGGATTGTAAGGCTGAATGGGAAGTCTTTACTTTAGGAAAAAGAAAAAAAAATCCTGTGGGAATGAGCATGGAGATAACAAGTTCATGGTGAAGACTCACTGGTTTATGGAGACCCCAGTTTTCTTCCAAGCAGGCCATCACTGTGAGGAGCACTGTGGTTTAATGCATTACAGCAAGGTGCATAGGGTGGGTGCTCATGAAGAAAGAGGACCAGGGAAACGTGGAGCATCCCTTGGCTTCTAGTCTAAGAGCAGCAGCAAAGCTTTGTTTTGCTCCAGGGTGGGAGACTGGACAGAGCAGCTGCATTGGAACCTCCATCAGAGCAAGTTTCATGCAAATACCTGTGTAGTTAATGAAGGGAAGGAGGAATCCTGGCTTGTGCACAGAGGCTCGTATGGCACCAGTGCAAAGTCCAGGTGCAGGTTGCAGAGAGGCTTTACCTGCAACACTGAGTGATTTGCTCTGGGGTGTGAGGGGAACGACAGCTCTGAGTGGTACCTCCACCATCCTGATGGGTCGCACTCCCCCTTTTCCAGAGCAAAGCACCCAAACTGCTCACCCATTTTGACACTCTGCCCTCCAACCAAACAAACACCTTACCAGCAGGCTAATTTGTTGGCTTTCCTCCCTTTTGCCAGCAGCCAAAGGTCTTTCAGATCCTTCCTTCAGCACCATCCTCAGTTCACGCCACAGCTGCAGCAGGAAAACAGTAGGCAGCACACCTGCATGCAGAGCTTTTAGCGAGCCTGGAGAGGGGGAGATGCTTCCACCAACCACCTCTCCTCTTCAGTGCATTGAAAAGTTCAGCCCACCGCTTGACATCTTTTTTTTATGACACCAGACCTGGTAACCCCTTCTTCAGGATGCTGATTCCTGCCTTCTGGATCCCATGTTTTAGATGTAGCCTTGCAATATTAGTTAAATACAGGTACAATTTCCAAGCAAGCCATCTGGGATCTTTCCTACAGCTCCCCCTATTTAATCCTTTGGGTTTCCTAATGGAGTCCCAGGTCATTTTTAAATCCCTACATAATGCAAGAATTCATGGCTTCAGCAGCATGATTAGTTGGCCTGACACCCAGACAGACCTCTAGGCATGCATTAAATCTTTATACTCTATTTACTTTTTACTGAAGGTATTTTACAAGCCTCTGAGTTTCTGAGTTAGTTGCCATGGCTTAAAGAATGTTCTCTAACCATATTCAAAAATCTGTTCTGTGCCTCAGATTTGTTTTTGACTTTGTTTGGCACTGAAACCAGGAACAGTGTCACTGCTATGCAAGATATGTCATGAAACTACATATATATAATTTTTATTCCCTTGTTATATAAAGGCTTTGTGTTGTGTTTGCATTTTGAATTTACCAGTGGAACAATAGCATTCTATTTGGGTCAGAATTAAGGTCCTTGTACTATCATAAAATTCACGCTTAATAGGAATAATTTTGTTTGCTATTTGGGCACTGCAAGAATTATGATGCCCCTAACTATTTGCATTGTTGCTTTTAAGTGGCCAGGTATTTTGGATGCTGTGATAAGTAAGTGCATTGTTGTCAGTCAGCCACCATAATTGGGTTTTGAAACAAAGACTTCTAGCTTTTGGAATATTTACCAGCAAGTAGTGACATTTTCGACAGATCAGGCAAAGCTGCTGACTCGAAAAAGCTTATTTTTGTGACTATCAGCAACATGACCTCCCTGGTTTGAAAAGAAAAAGAAGTGATTGTTCTGCTTAGAGCTGACAACAGGGTTCAAAATTCTTTCTCATATTCACAGCGTATTTCTAATCCAACTTGATAATAGAAACTGCACTTAGAGGGATATATTTCACTGCTGCACATGCATTCAAACTCAGGTCAGGAAGAATTTTGGCTTAGAGAATGTGTTATTGTGATTAGCTGCTGAGTGCAGAAATACAGTAGCCCAGACAGCATCAAAATTCCCACTTCTCCTTATTATGAGAAGGGATATATCTGATCCATTGTCACATTTGCAAATGGCTTACCCCTTGTATGAACACACACAGTTCCTTGATGCGAATAATAATCTTACCTACTTTGCTGAATGACGTTAATGCATTCAATGCTAAAAAAGTTGTATTTGTGCTTACCTTCCTGACAGCAATTCCAGAGATTTCCAGAGCCTAAAACAAGAGATAACCTAATGAAACGATCATTAGTCTTTTTTGCCATAGCCATTATGCCCCATGACTTCACAATTTCTGGACATGAAACTCTTGGTATTTTGCCTTTCCCTTGCTGATTCTCCATCATGTATCACTATCAACATAGTGACAGGCACTACAAAACTGGTGGTGAACTCACATCTAAGTTTTACACCTCCAGCTCTTCAGGAGTCTAAAAGCAGTACTAAAGCTCGGCACAGCTAAAAGACCAGCTTGAATTTAAGTTCCACGATGGAAATGACCTGATGTTGGCAGACTGATATTCTAGGAGGTAACCATAGAAACGTTCCCAGTAGCTTACATGGAAGATTAAAAGTTGCAAGAAGGCAGAAACATGGTCTGGATTAGTTTTTATTTGTCCAAGGCCATCACCCCAGCAAGGAATTATTAATTATGCATTCAAATTCTTCACTTTTGAGGAACAGCCTCCATGCAACTGCAATTCCTAACCGAATGGAGAGCTCCAAGGTGGAAAAAAAAAAAAAAAGACCATGTGTATACACACATGCAATTTTTGCAGCTCTTGCAGTTGCATCATTACATGTGCACACAGGCACTGTAGTGTACAGTGAAGGCAGCTGGACCATGGCACAGAACAGCTGATGCTGGACTTCAAGTCACGGAGCTAAAGCCAAGGGATGGTGTCAGGGAAAAGGCTTCTGCTTTTAAATACGGGAAGAGTCAAACCTTGGGAGAGGGAAGGCTGTCAGAAACGTTTGTGTTTCCACGACAGATGGTCTCTGAAGGCCATCTGTCATGGAAACTTGGAGCCACGCAAGGCTTGGACGGCGAGTCCTTCACCACCACTGATGAGCTCACTAAGAAGCTGTCAGAGCAAGAAATGTCTCAATGAAAGGAGCAAAGCAGTTGTGGACACGACCCTGATCTGCATGCATTCAGCTACTATCACCCTATCCCCTCAAGCACACAGTGAAACAGTCTTTTCTGTAAATCCAGGCCTGGCAAAAAGCTCTCATTCCCAAAGTACATGATTATTCCAGTCCCTATACATATGAATAATTCATCATGCAATGTGGATCCACAGCCTCGAATCTCTTTTTTCCCACAAAACTGTGTCAATTCTGTATGATGCAAAACCAAGCAAGGTCAGTATCATTTTTCATCCACTTTGCACAGGTACCAGAAAAGGCACAACATTTGGGGCACCGTGGACACATCACCACCACACCTACTTGCAATTCCCTCTGTTGAGCAACTTCCATGTGTATGCAAAAACAAAACAAAACAAAACATAACCACCAAATTAAAGCTTTCAGAATCCATATGCTTTAGGAGTGTAGTCCCGTAGTCACTGCATTTGTTCTAATAATAACTAATGAATCGTTAGGTGTGAATCAGAGGAGCAATCATGGTTTAATCATGGTTTAATTTGTTTCACAATACTCCTGTAAGATTCCATGTATAGTTTAATTATATTGAAAACCAAGAATCATTTGGGTAAACTTACTATTAGCTGTTGCTACCGTAACCTGCTTACGCCACCTGATGGGCACCAGCATGGGGGTCCCAGGAGTGCAGATGGGCAGGGAGGGAGATTTGGCTATGAGGGACACAGCTGTTGCTCATGGAAAATCGTGTTCATCTGCAACTTGTTTCCTCCCAAGAGCAGGCTCAGCCTCTGATGCCTGTGTATTGGCACCTTTGGGCTAAAGTGCCAGGTGCCTTTGCACTGGGGCTGGCCATGAAGGCAGTGTTGAGAGGCTACAGCTGCTCGTGCTGAGTCTTTGTGCTCAGAGTGTAGGATCTGAGCACAAAGTGCTCTGCACAGACGTCTTGTTACAGAACAGCTTTCCAAGGCCACTTCTTCTTCTTCTTTCCAAGACCACTTCTTCTCCATGGGAAAATCTTCCACCATACATTACATCTTCAATGTAAAAATATCCCTGAGTGCCCCAGATGTTGCCAAACTTTTCCAGAGATAAATCTGCACAAATAATACAAAGGAAGATTGCTTTCAGAGCAAGGTCTGGTCCCACAGGCATTTGGCTTACTTGTTTTTAATTCAGGATGTCTGCTGCTTGTATGCACCCACCGCCCAAGAGGGCAACTAGGTCTGCAGTGAGAAGCCCCAGCAAATGAATCACACATGACCACAGTCATTGCAGCAGGCATGTCTCACTCTTGCAGGCTACAAACCTGGCTGTTGCCAAAAATAAATAAATTAAAAAAAAAAAAAAAAAGAGAGAAAAAAAAAAGCTCATACTTTTAAAACTATGATAATGTCTTGTTAATGTCACAGCATGCAGCAAGGCATGGGTGATCCACATCTCAGTTAGCTGTCTCTTCTTTTCCTTGTGTCAAAGACTAAAAGAAATGCCAGGTGGAATCAAAAGCCAGACAAATCAGACCCAACATATGTTACTGCTAATAAATTTTTGCTGATGATCTATTTGAGAAGTTCATGCTCCTGCCCTTTCTTTGTAGTATCCAGACAGCTTCTGTATAAAATTAATAACAAGAATTAAATCCCTGGTGAGCTTCAGGCAATATCTGATCCTTTTCCCTCCCAAGGACAAAGCTCTGCTCTGTGTGGGTTTAACACAGCTTTGCTAAGCAAAGTGGTGTAGTAGAGAGGAATTGTTTTTTCCAACAAGATTTTCAGAGATTTTGAAATATAGTCCCGATAGGAATGAGAAGCCAAACATTTGTATTTCCTTCATAGATAATTCTAGAGGGGAAAATTACAAGCAGCCAATGAGAGCATTTAATTTTTGCACAATGCAGTGTGATTTTGTTTCTTAAATTGTATAATCAATTACAACATATTGTATTATAAACTACATTATGTTCTTTGCAATCTAAAAGACAGCAGTTGCAAAATGAAAAGTGAAAACTTTCCATTGCTGTATCCTGCAGGAATCAGATCCAATGCCGCCCTGAAGGACTGGAGGCCTGTGAGAGCAAGAAGCGCACAGGGATGTCTCCGGTATCTCCAGAAGAGCAGGAGCTGTGTGAGGACTGGGGACAGGCCTGGCATGGTGGAAGGAGCTCTGGCCACCTGAAATGTGCTGCTGTAATGAAGCAGTGGAAGAGCCCAGCAAAAAAACAGGTGGTGGCACACCCCAGCCAGAGCCAAGGTACCCAAGTCATCTCCACCTAGGATCCCAGCTCACTTACGCCACTCTCAGAGTCATGACATGGGGGTTAAGTACAGAATTGACATTCTGCATCATCCCAAAGGTCCAGCTACCTGTCTCTGAATATGTCCAGTAAAATCACTTGAGAACAGAGCCTAATGAAGGAAAGGACAAGTTCATTCCTTTACCTGGTCTATGTCCTACTTATGACCGCTTAGGACTTACCTAACACTTCCATACACCAGTCATTGTGGCAAAGAGTTACATTATAGTGTGAATGAAAAAAAAGTAAAAAAAAAAAATTAGTCTGCCTTATATTCACTGCCACATGATCCTGTTTTCTAGCTGCTCATTTTCAGCTTCTGAGAAAGAGTACACAGTCATTGCAGTTCCTCTTCCCCCACCATTCATGCAATTCTATATCCTTAATAGATGCTTGCGTATCTCTTTCCCAGGTTGAACAGGTAGAGTCTACTTTGCCTAACATTGCAGGTCCGGGCCATTCTGTTGCCTTCCTCTGAATCATTTCAAGTCTGTGCCTGCCTTTCTAGCGTTGAGATCAGATCTGCACATGTGTGGGCATGCAGTGTATTACAGAGCTGCACAAGCTCGGTTTGTGTCCTCGTTGTAACTTCATCTTAATGACACCTAAGTCTCTGAGATGTCAACGAACACCAAGCTAGCATTTGCAGAAGACTCTCCAGAGCCGCTCCAGGATCTCTTTCCTGAGCAGTAATAGCCAGCTCAGAGTACACCTTTGTCAATGATTGTGCCTCACTTTGCAATTATTGACATTGCATTTCATCTGACATTCTCTGCCTTAGTCACTAAGGATCATGAGATTCTTCTGCAGCTCCTTGCAATCAGCTGTCATTTCTCCCTGCTGAGTCGGAAATGTCAGAGGCTGACAAACAGAGTAACATCCCTTTTGGCTGAGCAGATTGGATTACACCTTGCAACCGAACTAAGGACCAAAGATGAGGTTGAAGGAAATTACTCATCTTAGGCAAAATAAACCAAGAAATAAATAGTTTTGCAGAACACAAAAAAAAAAATCCTAATTAACTTCAGGACTCCAACCACCAAAAACTGTATTTATCCGTCTTATGGTTTAGATATTTATTTTTGTATATGTGGGTTCTTTCATGTTCTTTAATTGTTGTATCTTTTGTTCTGTTGTACAACTTTAAGAACGTTAGCAGAAGAATATTAGATATTAAAAAGAATGTATGTATGAGACCTACTCCGTTTAGATAAACTATAGGATTTTACTGTTTTCTCTAAATTTTTGTAACATTCAGGAATGAAAGGAGTTTCCTAACATAAGGAGGAAAAGAACACTGAGCATACTTAAATGTGCTGTAAAATAACCTGGAATATTAAAATGAATTGCTTAACTAATGAATAGGATAGATTAATACAGCAATGCAACCCCAAATATGGAGAAAACATAAAAAAAGCTCCGATAAAAAAAAGATCAGAGAAGGTTCCTATGTGCTGCTGCCATCTCCTGGGTGTTGAGAGAGGGGTGCTATGGAAAGAGCGTGGAGAAATCTGTAAGGCCAGGAGGGGAAAGGGAGCTCTCCTCCAGCAGGTATGGGCCCAGGGCATGAGGAACCTGAACTCCCACAGCCACCTTCAGTTTGGAGGAGTCCTTGGGGTCAGCCTCTTCCCCACCTGAATGCAATCAGTGCAGGTGAATGAAAAGACACACTTCAATGTTTGTATCTTATTTTATATTTTTTCAACAGAAAGCCAAATGGCTCCTTACTCAGCCAAAATACATCATTAACATATGTAACTCTATCAAATCATGTGATACTTCTCGAGTTAGCATGCATATTGATTGGTTATGAGTTATCAAATGTGCCTGAAAGAGCATCTGAAAGATGCTTTTAAGGGAAATGTAAGACTGAAAATCCCTTGCGTTAAATTTGTTGAGCTAAAGGCCCCAGTGAAAACACCTTCACCTATTCTATTCTATTCTATTCTATTCTATTCTATTCTATTCTATTCTATTCTATTCTATTCTATTCTATTCTATTCTATCCCATCCCATCCCATCCCATCCCATCCCATCCCATCCCATCCCATCCCATCCCATCCCATCCCAGTATTGGCTGTAAGCCATGCAAACTGCCTCATCTACTTTAAGACTTTATCTTCGCCATCTGCCTCGTACCTAAGCAATCTCAGAGCACTCAGCCTCTTTCCCACTCAAAAGGACTCAGGCACCAGCCCCCCTTTCTCAGTTGCCTTTTAAAGGACTTGTCAGTCTCCTTTGTACGCTCCACTGATAAAGTGATTTCATTAATGAGAAATGAGCCAGAACTTCAAAGCTCACACTCATATAACCCCTTTGACCAGGATTTGGGGTCCATATAAACAGCACTTGAGATGCCGGGAGGGATGCTTCTTTCATCTCAAGAACAAAATATGATTCTACCACAAATAACTGCCAGACCAGTTTTCAGCAGCAATATTTCAGCATTGTGACTTTCTCAGCAATCCTGAAAAAATTGGTAGGTTGCTGAATGAACCACGTGGGCAAGCCTGAATATTTGCTGCAGCGTGTCATCCTGGAGTATTTCCAGGGCACAGCAAAGCTGTGTTCGGTGAGCACACGTGCTCTGGAGGGTCCTTGTCACCTCAGCTCTCACCTACCAGCTATGCTCTATCTGTAATCCACCTGAGAGGCTTTGCTTCAAAATAAAACACACTGAGTGTTTAGTACATTTTCTTACACCATCCCATAGACATAAAATACCCTGCAGATGTTTGATGGTAAGAAATGTGCAGACAATAAAACTGTAAAGAATTTTTATGTTTAATTTTCTGGGTGAAGAGTAATTTTGCTTGAAATTTTGGCTTTCATTTCATATTTCTTTGCTGCATCCTTGAAAGATCATTCTTATCACCTTTGTACTCTCCCACTTCTTGTCCTCTTTGTCTATAGTGGTCTTTGGTTGTAGGGACATTACCTTTGGTTTGAGAGGTTTGGTTTTATATTCTGAAACAGTGCACTCCTGGGGTCTACCAAGTTCCATATAATAATAAATATAATGATATTGATAATTTAAGTAAATAGAATAAATCTGCCCAGAGCCCACCTGTGGCTGAGCTGAAGTGGGAGCCGCAGGCACAAGTACGGTAATTCCAAGTGCCCTGGCACAGTAAGGTGTAACTTGCACATCGAGTTACTTTCATTTTACAGAGAGCAGAGCTGGGTC